AACGCAGCCAAGACGATGACAACGATGAGGACTTTGCGAACGCCGCCTTTGGGTGTAGCGCTGTCTTCAATCTTTAGGGACTGGTTCTACAACTACTTAATTTTGTCGTGGCCACAGAACTCAGGCAGCAAGCTCTGCGCACTGCGCACTGCGCACTCAGCTGCCAGAGCGCGTTCTTAGCGCGTTTGTGTGCTTACTTGAGTTATGTTGACTTACTCGAATACCCTGTAAGCATTAAATATATGAGCTAGCTAAAGAAACTTATTGCAAACGCAACTAAGCACACATCGCTTCGATAATTGTATAGGAGTATGGCTCTATACATGCCTCTGTAGTTGTATATTGTATTGCTTTCTTATGCGACTTATGATGCTTGACTACAGAGCATTTGATGGTTGCATACTTGCTGTGTCTTCGATACCCATACTCGTTCAGTTTGCCTCTTTTGTCTGCTATTGTCCATTGTCCGGCCCTCATAATTTGCGCTTTGTTTTATTGCACGAGTTGCATGCTGTTTAATTCGCGGGTCCACAGCTCCAGGCTTATTGTTTCGTGCTATATATACATATCTAAGTAGATATATATATATGGATGGATGTATATGTATAAGCATAGCTCTTATTTATTTTGAAATGTGAGTCACGTTTAAAGTTTTGCGTTCTCTGCCCAGCATTGGGACCATAAATGGGTTTGGTTAACTGCAGCGCATCTTCCTTGAAAGTCTCTCGGTCCCATTTATAGCGCTAATTGTGCGCATTTTGTTTCGCTTGTTATTTATAAATGCACACGATTTGCTGGCTAGTAGCAACTTGACTTGGCTAAGTGCACCAATTGGACAAACGTTACCAACTGGTTCAGCAACAGTGTTTCCTCTGTTTTGGCAGTTGTTAACAGGCGTTAAGATTTTTTGGCAATAGCCAAAGCCAATGGCAATTTAATTGCCTCCGCCTGGATTTGTTTAAGCTCGCCTTAATGAAATGCTTTCAATAATTAAGCAGCTTTATTTCCAAAACAAAACCAATAACACAAAAGCACTTAACATGAAGTGTAATAAAAATGGAAAGTAAATGACACGAAAACACTTTGCATGCCTTGCTATACCCTGTAAGTTCGAGTTCTTACTCAAGGAACGATGCAGCTTGATTTGAAAGAGATATTTAGATTGTCTAATGGTAATTTATTATTCATGAAGTCAATGGCTAACCGAGGAATGCGATGACTTTTCTAGGGTATGTGGTAGTCAGTTCACATATTTTCTACTGGGCCATGTAATATTTTAAATGCCAATATTATGGAATATTTATGAGATGCCTTGGATCAAATGTGCATATTTGCGCTGATTGCGCCCTGCGGCGGATGTGTAAGCGTCGGTCAGACACATACACACACATACTCCAATAACCCCCACAACACACCCACACACATGGAGAAGTAAATGCAAATGGCAGCCGCTTCCGGCTATTTATATTCCACTAACACCATCAAGCGCAGCGAATCACTTGTCGATTGTGGGCGTGTCAGTAGAGGAACGGTAAAATCAATGGAGATTAATATACAAATAAAACCTACTAAACTAGTTTTTTAACAAGCTGCTTCAATTGTACGCAGGACCAAAAAACTCTATACGAATCTCCGGCAAAGGATTTTTTTCGGCTTAATCAATAATTGTTTCAGTGCATTGGTAAAGCATTAATATAGCCAGGCTACATGCCTATAGATATATATGTGGATATGCATATTCGACTTATTTGCATGTGTGTGTTGAAATGTGTGTTGGGCATTTATATAGACATTAAAATTTATCAGTGATGGGGCTGCTGCTTCGCATATCGCCGCATGGTCGCAGAGGCGATAAATAAAGATTAAAATCTCTGAAATGTGCACAAAAGTGGCTGGCACTTCATTTCAATTTATGTATTTATACTGTATAGCATGCCATAAATGTATGACGCATACGCACATGCACACACACACACGCTCACACAGGCAGACACCATAAATCAAAAATCTGTGCATACTTTTTTGGGCCGCTGCATCGGCCCTGTTTCAATTGCAAATAATTTAAGCGGCCAACTTCCACAGTCAGTCAAAAATTGTAAAAAAAAACACAGAGCATAAAAAAGAAGAAAATAATAACGAAATTTAAAATGGCACTGGCAGTGACATTGTGTATACGCACTGTGGCGCTTATTGAAATTCACAGCGTGTGTTGTGATTTCGTTTTGGTATTTCTTTTTTTTACACACTTTGCCACGCTTTTCCGCCTTATTTTTTATAGCCATTAAATCAAAGTACAAATAAAAGAAAGTAAATAAAAAGAAGTTATAACCTTGGCGGCAGAGACCCGGGGCAAAGAAGTGTTATATAGCCTTCGGGCTCAAATGAAATGCTGAAATGTTGCCATAAAAACGCGAAAATTCGTAAAGTGCACTTTACGCGCAATGCTTGACAAACGAACACTGAACGGCGTACAGCGAACAGAAACACAAATTTCCAATGCAATAAATGAAAATATATTGACGAGCGCCAAAAAAAACTATTTTCAGAAAAATTTGCAAGCTCACAGATGTCGGCGATAATTATGTAAAATATATACAATTTTCTATAATACTATATAAAAGTGTGAATGCCAAAACTAAATTGCAGCTGCAAATATTTTGCAATGCTGCTGCTTAATTATATAATACAGTTACGCACCACCACGCAGCATGCAGCCACATCCAGTAGGCGATGGCCTTTTAATTACATTTTAATATTTGTGCCCAGAATTCCAAAAAAAATCCTTACTCAAAATTGCAATGGCGTCATAATTGCACACATACTTACAGGCATACATAAATATATATATAAATATATGTATGTATATATGTATAAATTTCGCACACAATTCGCCCTAATTGGTTGCCACAAAATGTTGGAAACCAAGCGGCAGTTGCACGCCTCGCTGCCTTCTGCCAGCGCAACATGTTTGACAGCCAACAAAAATATGTAATATGTGTATATGCCGTAGCAAAACGCATATAATTTTCAAAATAGTGTAATAATATAATGCCATAAAGACACACGCACCCACACATATAAACATAATTCACATGTGCTAAGCATTTCAGTTGCAGGATTCCGACTATTGCTCCTGTTGCCAACAACAGTTGCATTAATTAGTTGTACCGCCCACCGGGTGTGCGGGCGTGGCTGTCTGTGCGGCTCGCCGTTGCGTGTTGAAACTATTTCATATGCAAATGTAAATTTAATGAGTCGTTGAAGCTGATGTCCCACTGCACGGGTGTTAATTCTATCTGCGTACATGTGTCTGCGTTCGCGCATATTTAATGGCAAATATTTTGTTAATTTTTAATTTTAATTGCAGTTGCTTGTTTTTAATATTTGCATAATTTCGCACAGGACTGGCCCGACCTGCAGTCAGCAATTAAATTACTGCGCTTATTGTACCAGCGTTGCTGGTTAATATGCCATGTCAATATCTATTCTTGTATCAGTGTAGAAACCAATGTGGCGAACAGCATTTAAATGCACAGTTTATTGTGCATAAATGGCGAAATGTAATTATTTATGCAATAAATGTGTCTAGATTCAAATGAAATAAAATAATTGTTGAAATTTCATCGATTGATTCAATGCAAAGTGAATGAAAAATGCAATTTTATGTAGAGCTAGATGCGAAACTTTTTGGTTTTTGCAGAGAAATTCAATTAAGTGAGACTCCTTTGCTGAACAATAGACACCATACCAACACACACACACAACATACCTACACACACCCTCGCATGCTGACCAATCGCCAAATAGCTTTTACATTTTCAAATGTAAACGTCAGTTTGTTGCATTTTGCTAACGAACATACCCTAAACAAATAGCATCTATGATTTCTGTAGTTGGAGCAGTTCAAATTTTCGTGTCTGACAAATTTGTATATTGTCTGAAACAGACTTTGTTCTTTCAAAAGAAAGCAGATGTGTTTAGCAGTTAAGGACAGGCATAGGGTATCTGCTAGTCGATTGGGCTTGGCTTTCATTGCAATGCTCGTGCTTTTGCCGGCCTTGTTCAAATTTAATTAAATTCTTCAGCTCTTTGAGCCGCAGGATCGCACTTGACGCATAATTTGTCTAGCAACTGAGTGTTTTTTATTTCTATTTGTTTATTTGTTGTTTTTTTTTTTTGTGCACTGTGTTGCTTTTGGGACACAGACGCACACAGCTACGCCCAAAAGTGTTCGTGTATTTGTTTTGGCGCGTATGTGGACCAGGCAAAAGTGTATAAATTGTTGTGCAAGTTTATCTCACTGCTGCAGCAAAGGGAAACAATTATTTTTGCTCGTGCATTTTTGCTCGCAACACTACACACAAGCAAACACACAGACACACACAAACACACACAAGCACATATGCTGTGTGGTTGGCCAAAATATGAAACATTAAAATAAAAAATAAATATATATGTATATATCAGAGTTTTGTATGTATGTATATCTTTAACAGTGTGTATGCGTGCGTGACAGTGAGTGATAAAAGTTATGAGCTCTTTGGGGTATTCATAGCCTCATGACATTCCCAATTTTATACTCTATACTTATTTAATAAATGTCCCACAGGCAATTCTTTTCTAACAATTAAAATGAATGGCATTTACATTTTCAAATAATAATCCTATTCTTTGGTTCTTTCTAGCAGTTCAAATTTAGCTTCGCTTACTCGAATTAAATTTTAAAAATAATTTATAAAGTTGTTTTTAGGCTTAGTGCACAAAAGGTTATTATAACATCAGATTTGATTGTTAATTCACCTGTTCATATTTATTCTCATATTTATTATTATTTTTATATTTGTAGTTTTTTGTTTTATTTTGTTGTTTATCTAGCTAACAAACTACAGAAATGAAAGCAATAAAAAAGATAAAAAATTAATATTAAAATTTTGTTTTTCCCCAATGTATTAATTAATTGTAGAGTTTTAACATGCAAATTAATATTTATTTAAACTCACATTTTGTTGGTGGTTTGTGAAAAAATAAACCTTTTTTCTTCGCTGCGTTTGGCTTCTATTGAAGATTCTTATACATTTTAAATGTATTTTTAAGTAATTTCCTGTGAAGAGAATGAGAATACAAATACGAAATGTTAAAAATATACAAAAATAAACGCAAGCGAAAGTTTGCTAAAGAATGTATACGAAAGATATGTAGTATCTCTTGAGAATATGTAGATGAGCAATTTCTTATTAACATTTCAAATGAGAGACAGGAGAAAAAGTGTCTGTTCTCAGCGACTTTTGAGCTTCGCCACTTTTGAGCCAGAAAGGGGTGCGTTGTGGTTGTGTGTGCCTGTGTGTTTGACTCTAGCACTAATTATGTCATACATATGCAAAAGTGGCAAATAAGGCATCGTCCCGGCTACTCTGCTCAAGTGTGTGTACATGACACGCTCATGTAAGCCACTTAAATTTTAACGCATCCTAATGTCTATTCATAAGTGTGTGTCGGTGTAAGTCTGTGCGTGTATGTGTGCGATGCTTAATTTAATTAAGGTCTCCTCTGCACATTGCAGGGCGATGCATGTGTAAAAAGCATTTGCAAGTCAAGTGCCTGTGCAACACAAGGATGCACCACAAGCCAGGAATGAAAAAAGCTTAGCTGGAGTTGGTAAAATAAAACTGGGAGAAATTCATGTAAAAAGAAAGCATTTTATGTACAACATCTAGTTATTAATTTAACAACTATTCATGCTGTTCAATGTTTTTTCAAATCAATCCGATTGTCGGTAATAAACTTTTACATAAATAAACCAGCTCAATTAAAAGTATTTCCTGAGCTTGTGTTGTAATTTTATCTGCATTTTTGCATTTTAATTTCCAGCAAGAAACAATGCAAGAAAACCCTTTCAAATAAATAACAAATTTATCATCTCTCTTTGAGGGGCGAAAAGAGGTCAAGCTGTGTACATTTTTTGGTTGTGCCTTGTTTGCAAATCCAATTTCGTCTGCTGCATCAATTTGAATATATGTATATGTATATGTATTTTTTAGGCTATTCATAAATATAAAATCAGCTTGGTTTTTGTTTATTCTGCTATGTACATATAAATTGGACTGGCAAGCATTTTGTATGCCTTTTACGCACACTTCACCCAAAAGTTGTTTCTTGCGAGTGTATTTGTTTAAGGCAAAACTCTAATTGCTTGCCAGTGCAAAATTTATGTAAGCTGAGAGCTAGCAATTAGAAGAAGGTATATAATCCCAACTCTGCCTCAGTTAGTAGCCCGAAATAAGTATTTCTATGGGCAGTAAGACTTATTCTGATTAAATACATATGAGGGATAGCATGAAACCAAATTAGAAACTAAAAATGAGAGAAATGGAAAAATGTTCTTTAAAAACAAAACCACCTGGAATGAGTCAGAGCTCGAGCCTAAGCGAGCCGTCAATAATTTATGTTTGAATCTACAGATCTGCGTGGTATGCTCATTTAATACAATGTTGGGGCATTCATGCTGGTATTTATGTAGTTGCCACATCATGTTGCATGTTTATTTAAAATTAGAGTGTTTTAATGGAAAAAAATGCATTTTGTTTAAGCTGTCTGCCGGCAACAGAACAAATGCCAGTATTCAAAGGCTTATTTTCAGCAATTAATAAAGCCTGCCATACATAACAGTTCGCCTATGGACAGACAGACAATAAGACATGTTATTATAAACACAGCACGTATCGTATGTGTGTGTGAGTGTGGCACTTGTTTGGTCTGTAAGCCGCAGTCCATTGCTGTTGTTGCACTCGCAACTGCTGCTGCCTTTGTTACCACATGATGTTGCAGCTCGAATTCAGCGATGCATGCAGCAACACCCGCCCACTTGGCCCCTCCAATCGCCTGTCTGGCTGTCTTTCGCTCTGTCTGTTCTGTCAGCTCCCTTCGCATGCATTTTCATATTGAAAATCACTCAAGTGGCAGACCGACAACAACAGCCTTGTGTTTTGTGCGGCAATTTTGGTTCTTTAGCGCGAAACAAAAAGCAGAAGAAAAAAAAGAATGGAAAATTAGACGAGAAAAACAAAGGCAGCATCATGTTAATTTTTATAGACACACTATGAAGCCGCATAATGAGTGCTGTTTAGCTGCAAGTCGCCGAGGATGTTAATAAAAGTCGGCATACATAATTTCTAAAGCCCCCCATCTTATGCCCTGCTGCAAGGTCTTACAGCTAGCACAATGAGCTAGCTAAGGTTGTGTTCCAAGAGTATATCTGGTTCGGTGCTAAACCGATTTGTATTTCTTTTCACTTTAATAATGAAATGTGCAAATGTGTTGCCGGGACACAGGCACCAGACGCATACACTGCCTGCACCTACACAAAACCCCTACTTCTACACAATATTATTAACAATTTGATGTGTATGTGTGTGTGTGAGTGAGTGTGTATTCTCTGCCCGCACGCGCTGTGTGTTTTTTATATAATTTCATTGCAGTCGTTGGTTTTTTTTCGCTTCCTACTTGTGCAGAAAACAAGCGCGCACCATCAGCCCGCCGCCTTGCCCCACTGCACCGCCTGTCGCTTTCAGCCACTTTGCTTTGTTTTTAGTTTAGTTGCTAATTTATTTGCGTCTATGCATTTGGGTTCTGTCTGCATTCATGCAGCTTGTGGACTGCTTTGTGCGCCTTTTGTGTGGCATTTTAGCATTCCCGGCTACCCCATTTTATATATTATTTCGTATGGAATGGGCTTATGTTGGGGAGTAACATGCTTAAGCGCATCTGCCGGATGCACGCCAGCCCCCCGCCCACCTAACCCACATTAGCTTCTTTCTTCAGCTCTTTATGCGCTACTTCTATTTACTTCTGCTTGAATATTTATAAACAGCAAAAAATTGTTGTAATTACATACGTGCCGTATTTTTTCTATAGCAGCATTTGTATCTATACCTATGCAGCTGTTTTGGGGGCAAATGTATCTTTGGGTGTGTGTATGTGTGTGCTAGCTTGCTGCATGTGCATGCTTTGCGCTTCGTTGCCTTTTGGTTTATGCATTGCTTACAATATTGCTGCCAGAGTAAGTACAAAACACAATTGGCTTTGTTACAGCTTTGGAGCTTGCATCGGTTGCTTTGCTTTCTAACTGCACTCAACAGGAGTGGGTGTTCTAATGTACTGGCTGTTGTTGTTGCTGTTGTTCTTCTTACTGTTACTCTAGCTGTTGTTGCGGCTTCGATTTCCCATTAAAAAAAAAAAAACAAGTTTTTCTTTTTTTTTTTGCTTTGGTTTTGCATTTCTTTTCTAATCAACTTGGCAGCCACAGTGGGCGCATTGAACCAGCAAAGCTTCTTTATGCATTCTTTAACACTAATTGTTGTTGTTGCTGTTGCTGTTGTTGGTGTTGGTGCTAGCCACAGTTGTGCAGCGTGTTAATTACCTTTTGTGCGGCATTGCGCCTTCACCACAAAGTCAGTAAGTTAGTCGCACGCATAAGAAGCCCTCGCAGCGGCAAAGTTTGTGCCGTCGCACAGGCATTTCTGGGGCTCGCAAATAAATCATTTTTCATTAGCTCACGCATGAGCTGAACCTCTGAGCTCAGAGCTGGCACATAAAGAATTTGGAACAGAATTTTTTTGGAACAGCTTCGCTTAATTTAAGGCCGAAATTCTTTTTGGCCAGTTAATGTTTGTTCCCATTGTGCTTTGCATGTTCAACTTTAATTGAAATATATGACTGACCTGAAAAGGAAAACAAACCTCAAGCCAAAAAGAAGAAATTTATGCCCTGAATATAATCACGCAAGAATCGCGTTTTTATAATGCATATATAACCATATAGCTGCTCGTACAGGTACATAAACTGTTCACTTGACCTTTGTTTATGTACTTAAGTACAGCCAGCTAAGTTTTGCGCATCGAACCTTGAAAGATTTTGCTTTATTTAACCTACTTCAAGAAAAAGAAACGAATAAAGTAAATGTCAGAAAAGACGCTGGACACAAAATACGCGAACGGCAAACGGGAAAAAGAACAAACTTTTTTGTTTACTCGCTTTTCCGCTTCTTCTCTGTGTTTTGCGCTACTCTTTGTAATCAACAAAGTTGGCACATAAATACAGGCCTGACCGCTTCAATAGGATGCAGGAAGCGAGAGAAATTCTGAAAGCTGCCCAGCCAAAAGATACCCTAACTTTGTCAATATGTAATTAAATTTGATCTAATGTCTCAAGTTGATATTTGAGATTCAGATAATGAGGATTTTAAATAAATCTGAATGTTTGTGAATCAGTTTTGTTTCTTTTGAACAATAGTTTATAGTATCCATACCGACACTGTATACCCTCTTAACGTCTATTGGTATGCGTATGGCAGAACTTGCGAACGCCGCGTACTCATTATGTACACAAGCAACAACAAGGCACCGGGCAACTGACGCGGAAATTTGCAAGAGCTTTAAATTAACAGCCATTGTTGGCAGCGGGGCTCAAGTTTGCGTTGGGGCTGTGTAGTGGCGAGGCGTGGCGTGGTAGCGGCGCGGGAGGTGGGGCATCAGTCGCGCATTGTCAGCTGTCATCGTGTGGACTTCATTTTATGTGCCGACAATTTCTCATTATAAAAATTACGTCGCCAGCATCGGCATCGGCATCGGCATCGGGCAGGCAGGACAACAAACAAGGACTCCACTACAGATGCGTTGGCAGGATAGGTTTGAGGGGCTTGTGCAGACAACGGCATGACAAACAATTCTGCATAAATGTCAACTGTCACGCTTGTGAAATTTGTTTGAGTGAAAAAAAGCCAAATAATTTTCTGTCAGTTGCAGCTGGTCAAAACAAAAAATGAAAACAAAAACAAAATAAACAGTTGCCCAAATTAATATAAACTTTAAATGGAAAAGTTTTCAAGTAGTTTCGGCTAGAGCCAAGCTCATTAGCGCCCTCTAGCGGCGGTGGCGACTGACGCTGTTGTCAGTCGGACGACAACAGGGCGACGTTTTGTCTGGCATATTTGCAGCGGCCACATAAATCACAGTTGCATGTCATTAACTTGCGATAAAGCTGTCATAAACAATGCAACACATAAATTGAGTGGGTGGTGCGGTGGTGCAGAGTAACCAACGTGCA